GGCAGTACACTGACGTAAACTATTTTTTCCAGAGCAATATTCTTCTCTGCAATGACAAAAGTCCTTTTGGCTATCACTGTGACCTAAGACCTCTGTTTCTCACCACTGATTTCCATAGACTTATTCTCTTGAAAGTGTTGCCGTTTCCAAGGTTCCAAATAATAAAGTTTGTTTGGTTTGTCTTTTTGCAGAAAGAATACTTCAGAAAAACAACAATAATAGTTTAGAACAAGCAGAGTTTCTTTTCTATATAGGAAGAGTAACAGAAAGAAGCCTATCTTCTTATTCTCTGCATAGGTATTTTTAGCTGTTGCATGTAGTATTTTTGGCACAGTGGTTTCCTCAGTATGGCTGAGGCTATGGCTTAGGTTTTCCATTCCTAACTGAAAACCTTTTAAAGGTGTCCTTTTATTTACTTGTTTATTTTGTGAAGCATTCTGAACATCTTGGTACATTTAAGAAACACCTAACTGCTATTGATAACTCACTTTAATATTGATAACACAAATTCAGAAATATAGTCTCTCAGATACCCTGTGCTAGTCCTAATTACTTTCTTTGGAGTCTCACCCTCAGCAGTAGCTTTGGCAAAGAGGCATCGTTTTATCTGAGACCAAACAGCAATTTTAAAAGAAAATAACAACAAAACCCAACAGCCCAACACGTATAATCTAACGCTGGAGTTTATGCCACGGCTCATCTGGCAGCTGTTCTGAAGTGTGCGCCTCTGACTATCAGAGCTCTGGTTTCTGCTCTGTTTGCAAATGATCACTTCTGCTTTCGATGGTGGTTGTATGCCAGATCCCTCTGGGCAACGGCAATATGTTCCACTTAGTTTCAGCCTTCACTAGCCCAATATATTTTTAAAGTAATAGTAATTTAGAGTTATGACCAGAGTGGTAATATGTCTGTACTGAATCTATCCTTTGGGTTGTTTGTGGACAGCTTAGTCTTGCGTATAGTGCCGGAGAACCGTGGCTCCCAGGCCTCCTTAACATCTCTCTCCATGTCATACTGGAGGATTGCAGTCCTTGTCCTTTGCCTGCCCCAACACAGCAGCAACTTTAAGTTGCTGGCTCAGGCAACACCACAGTTACACAAGCTGCTGTGCAAAGTTCATCATTCTGTTTTACGTCTTCAGATATCCTCGAGAGCCAGGAGGTGCAACACTGGTTTGCTTCAGGAGCTCAGAAGACAATATTGCCAGCCCCACACAATACAACAGCTATTTCTACCTCTCTCTTGCAAGGTCTTTTCAAAGCTTCCAAATTAAATTTATTCCTCTTCAGCTCCCTGCAATGTCACTCCGAGAACTGCTGCAGCTCATCTCTCCTCTGGCAAAAGTTCACTACTCCATTGTCCCCCTGTATCATAGTCAGACTCAATAAAGGAGCTGTAGGATCTTGTGATTTATATTTCAAGATGGAACTAGAAACAGGGCAGCTCAAGGCTTTCCAGCAGTACAGGCAAAGTCACTTTTCTCACATGAAGAATAAGGGGAACAAACCACATCAAGCAGTTCCTGTTCTTGGTAAGGACAGCTCAGAAAAAGTCACAGGGCTTGGGCAGTGAGGTGGGGTTTTTGTCCTTATCATCTCCAGAGGTGATAGCGTGCCTGTCCCCCAGTCACCATCCCCACCCTGCCCACCACACCACTGCAGCAGCTACGCTGGGGGCTGCTGGAGCCCCATCTTCCTCAAAGGAGACAGCTGAGACCACGGACATCCATTTGCCTCTTCCCTGCACACCCCCACCCTAGGAACCTGCCTGGTTTTCCTGTGACTACACCTAAGCCAGGGAGTGAGCCCCTCACTTTCATACTAAGCCTGCCTTTAGCAAGGAATGGCTGCAGCCCCTCCTACTGATAAACCAGCACTGAAACACAATTTGAACGTTCATAATCTCCTATATCAGGTTCTCATACCACTAATGCCATCAGTGCTATGACCTTTTAGCAAGATATCAGGTGCTAGCAGCAGGCTCAGAATTGCAGACTTTAATTAAAAACTGTATTTAAAAATAAAACTCAGTTTAGATGCACTGATAAGTGATTTTCACCGTGTGAAATTTCAGAGTGCTTTATGGAAAAAAAAAAATAATTTCAAGCTTCCTATTAATTTCTGGTCTAGCTGGGTTTCAAGGACAATTTTATTAAAAATGAGCAGAGCCTTTGCAGTTGTTATGACCACCTGTGCTACCTCCCACCCTGATCCACCACATGACATAGCACAGCTAATTTTCCTACTTCCTAGCAAAGAAATTGAGCTGCTACAATTTTAGACTATGGGGCTTACATACATACATTTTAGACTTCATTATTTTTCTGTATGGCAAGGCTGGAGCTGGCAGAGGTTGTATCTAAACAGCTTTAAGAGTTCTTTCTCTCTGCAGAACAGTGTAAAAGTTCAGATAAAATCATTAAAGTTTCTGAGTGGGCGTGAAAGCAAGAAACAACAAGAGGAAAATAAAACTGGGTTCCTAGTTGAAGTGCAGAGCACTGACTGTAGAGAAAAGGTCTCAAAGGAGCCAATCTTAATGGATTACTGTTAATAAACATTACAGTTTATTAAACAGTTTATAAAACAAACAACAGGATGGCACTCATCTGAACTGAAACACAAACAGGGAAATGATGACTCTTGAGGCTTACTCACCACAGATAAATGCTTCCTGCTCTCTCCTCAGCCCTAGGTCTAAGTTTTATGAGAAAACTAATTGCTCCCCACTGTCTGTCTTAACCACCAATGACTCAGTGAAAAATAAAAATCAAAAATTCATATGCCAGCTTGATCAGGTCCCTTGTGGATAAGCCTTTTTGTGTTGTGCCCATCTCTTTTTAGTTTCAGGGGGAAAAACCCTTAGTCTTAGCCACAGACAAACACCAGGTGATTGCTTCTTTTCCACACAGGAAGAGCAGGACAATTCAGGGGAGAAACTTGGCAAGCTGAAAAATGGAAGGTAGAGGAGGAGATTATAATTAATGCATATGGGTAGTTTACATGCTGTCTCCTCTCCATAGTGAGAATGTAGCAAGCTGTCTAATTGGAGCCTGGTTTTTGGCTCCTCTTAAATTCCTCAGAAAACACTGCACTTCACAGTCTACATAGTTAGATTTTGTAGGTTTTGGCCACAGGAGAAGCCTAATAAAAATACTTGGGATGAAGAGGGCAAGCTATTTCAGGCATAACATTCTGGAGCAACGCAAAGAGGTCACAACTGGTGAGAGTCTGCATGAAATTGCATTAGGCACAGATGAATTGTCCAGTCATCTTTCTGCCCAAACTCATAAATATATTAGCACACACAAACATCACAGTCACATCCTATTTTTATACCCAGCAATTGCCTTCTTCATTGGTGTCTGACAATTCTGATCAAGTGTTTCTGTCCTTCAAAAGAATTTTTGATTTTGATTTCAAATCCTACCTTGGGTGTTGCCAATAGATTTGTGCATAAAAAGATGCAGTGACACTCTGGCAGGAGAATGAATGTAGATCTTTCTTGCATTTGCTCAAAGCCTGTGCAAGACCTAACAGTGAAAGCTTGATTACCTAAATATTTGCAGTTCAGTTGGTTATTTAGGTTTGAAAAACAATTCCTTATAATTGAATTCCCAATATGCAAAAACTAATGTTAAAACAGCAAAAATGCCTACTAGTTTAGCCAAATCAAATGGATGCCTATCCAATAAATTATGCAGTAAATTGTAAACTTGGTATGGTAGATCTTAAAGATGAAATTCTGGAAGCCCCTGAAGTTTCATAGTAGACATTGAGGGGAGTGAATTTATTGAGTGAGGACAACACAGTCACCTGGCAGGTAAATGGAAAGACTAGTCATGAGCTAGTGGAAAGACTAGTTAACATGAGCTGTGTCACTGTGGGCACCAGTCCCAGCTTCATGTCTCTCTGTGCATAGGTGCTCCTGTGGCCTCTAGCCAATGAATAAGAAAAAGTTAAGTAAAATACAGACTAGAATAAGCCTGCATCTTTTAGTAAAATTCAGTTAGGTATATGACATTTCAATTTCAACCTGGTGTTTTAGCAAAGTGAGTGACTGACTGCTTTTGAGTGAAGTTAGAAAGTGCAACTACTAACAGGTTTAAGAAAAGACCTCACAAAGAAAATGATGCACACAAAAGGGCAAAGCTGCACCTTCAAACACTTATATGGAAGTATCCCTTCTCTGAAACTGTTTACTGAAGTCACAACCTTTATTAACTGCATTCCTTTCCTCCTAAAAGACAGAATTCAACAGTAAATTATTTGGAAAGGCCAGAATCTCCACATTAATTTACTGAGGCTTTCATCCTTCTGCACAGCAGTGTATTTTTTAATACTGCTCAAAAGATATCAAGTACCTTCTTTCCAACCTATTCACCAGCTCTAAATGGGATTTGACATTACGAGGTCAGCTTTGCTTTGCCTCATAGATGACTAACAAATTTGTAGAGACATAGGTTCACTGTTCTCACATGGATCACTGCTCAGTGGACCACTGGTTTTTGATGGCAAACATTTAACTTTCAGCCATTAAGTAGAAGAGGAAATTCAGGTTGTAACAAATTACCTGGCATCTAAACAGTGTTAAAGTTACCCATTAGGAGTGCCTTTAGACAGTGGAACAGCACATTAGTTTTAAATTGCAAAGTTCAGTCAATGGAGTGATAAGAGTTCAGATCTGAAATGTTTTACCAAGCTATTGAAAAGCCTGCACAGTGAAATGTATTTATAGTGAACAAGCGCAGAATGGAAATCCATTTCTATAGTCAGAAGAAGATTGCAATCCCCCATGTCCTGCCCCACTACTCTCCAAAGCAAACAAACCCACTGAAATGCATTGTAAAATATAATGGTAGTTATAACTAATTTGTCTATAAAGTTATCGTATTAAACTGATTTCACTGTGCTTTAAACTGTGTGGGCATCCTGAACAAAATCTATTTTCACTATGATGATATTACAGTATATTATTCTTACCTTCTATGAATTATTCTTTTCTCCTTTATAATCATGTTGCCCATATATATGGCTGTTCACATCAGCTTCCCAGTTAGGAGTGCTTTTCCTCTTGAATAAGACTGGAAACCTATATAAGGGATAGGAATACAAAGAAGGAATATATAAAGAAGGAATACAGATAGTGGTACTGTTTGGGACAGGGGTGTAGAGATGAGATCATTTAACACTTTACACTTTAAAAAAATACCTCCATAGAAAACTTTTTTTTTTTTTTTAAAAATATTTAGCAAATTTTATTTACTGGTTGCTTTTTACTACATCATGGGTGAGGGAGCACAAAATGTATACCTCTCATGAAAGGTTGGTGCAGAAAAGGTTAAAGATGCTGGTGAGAACAAGCTTCCAGAACAGATGGGAAGTGTGGGTTTGTTAGAGTACTATCTGGAAATGCAGCTATGGGCATTATGCAGGGAGCCTTCAAACAGACCATTTAGGGGTATGTGGTCGGTTCTTGGTGTTTTCCTCCTCAGCTTTACCTCCTGCTTTGAATTTCTCTACTTCATCCTTCCTTGGCTCTCAACAGAAATCTCTTGTATTCATCTCCACTTTTAACCTGCGTTGCAGTTTCCTGACTAAGTGTATCCTTATGCTGTACCAGAGATCCTAAAAGGAAGACCTGAACGGAGAAGAATCTGAGTTTTTTTTTTAAAATAAATGACAAGGTGAAAAAAGAATTCATATTGCCTGCAGAGACAACAAGAGTAAATTATGCTTTTCTGTTTCCTAATGCATGGGTCGAGAGTGTGTGCCTTGAAATGAAGACAGCTAAACACAGAGATAATGTCTTTGGGGGAAACCTTAGAGACACAAAGGAGAAGAGAGACAGATGGAGAAGGGGACAAATCGATATAAGGGAAAAGATACCTATAAGGAAAAAGAACATCTGGAATGATACTGAAAGAACCTCAAGGAACTGGAAGGAGAGCATCATCAGGAAGGGAAAAGAGTTTAGGGAAACGTATGCAATTTATTATTTTATACAGTTTATTTCATCAACCCATAAAAGCTCTCTTAAATTATTTCACTTTGTTCACAGGGATAGCTGGAAATTCACCAGTTTAACCGGGCAATATTTAGCACAATAGGGCTCATTACAGAGTTGTTTATAAATCTATCAAAAACATTGGTTGTAAATGTATCAGAGACCTCTGTGCATTTTTACTACTCATGCAATAACATACTTTAAAAGATTCTGCATTCACCCATCAGTGAATGGATGAACAAATCTCAGGCAGAAAGCTCTGCCCACTTGGAAATCCAGGTGAACTCCTCCTACATGATAATTTTTACTTGCTAGGACTGTTACTCCCCAAGAACACAGGGAAATATTGCTGCTTAGAACACAGTGAAGAAATTTACTCAGTTTCACAAGTCTAAAAGCCAAAGGAGACGACTACCATGAACATAATTAATAGACGTCCTGATCATTTTCTGCAATTATTGGAGCAATCAGTCCATTAACACTGAAGAGAGCTGATCCCTTTAGATATCCAGTACAAATGTTTCTTTTTCCAGAAGTCAACGACAAGAAAACTGTGCAAGAAAAAAAAATTCTTCAAGAAACCCCAGATGAGCAAAACCTACACCTGCAATGAAAATTCAAAACATTGAAGTTGAGCACTGCATAACAACTATTGAAATGAGCCCCAAATATGTCAAAAAAGTGCAGCTACTACTCACCGTGGTTACTTGATCTATCATCTTGAAATATGAAACATTTCACAGCTGAAGGCCATAAAAATGTGCTGAGAAGGATATACATATAGGAAGTGTTGTGGCTCCTCACTGTTGTTTGTGGGGGAACTATTTGACACAGTTCTGCTCTTTGCTTGTAACTACTGTGGTAGCCAGTGCAGCTGAATTAGTGCTCTTACTTTTATGAAAAAGTATTGTTTCAACAGTTCTTCAGGACTTAGGACACAATTTCAAATCTATGAGGGAGGAATTGACAGTTTAAACTTTGACTTCCAACTAACACTGAGTTAAGAGGAGAATATACACCCTAGAGATCACAGAACTTTATTTTATATATGCAGTCATTATTTTACTTTATTTTTGAAAATAAAAGAAGATTAAGATATCTTTATAATATTATTCTATACAATTAGAAAAAAAAAAAAATCTACCCTGAATGAGGCATCTCAAAGACTTTAGAATTACTAGTAGAATAATGCCTAAGTACAACATAATTATACCATGGAACAAATCAACGATATATCTGTTTTCTGTATATCAAGTATTTTGAATAAAGGCATAAAAATGTTTCCTCTCTTGAAGCATGAAGCCAGAAAGTCTTCATATATATTTATGCTACTATAAGTAGAAAACAACAATATGCTATCTAAATGGAGAACTGCCTGTTTCTTTTTATACTTGCTTCTACATCAATATCTGTGTTTGTTCATCCTGTGGCAATGAAAACTGAAGTCACTTAAGCACTATGATAAAAAAAACCTGTATAAATTTAGGATATCTTGTACTTCTACTTTACTGTGCGTGACACTTGTTTACTCCCCAATGAGCTTGTTTGTTTCTACACCCATTTTTTAAGAGGTAGCATAAAAACTACAGTGTTTGGGGTGAATAGTCAACATTCTTTCAGAGCATTAAATACTTTCTTTTGTGTTACCAGTTCTGTTTTGCTTTCCATACCACTTAAGTCTTGTTACTGATTGAGCTGTTCAGAACAGCACCGAGGTCTTTTTTCTCAGTGGCTACATCATGGATACAAGAAGGCTTCAAAAATTTCTTTGACAATATTAGGATGTTCAGCATAGAACAGAGCAACATGGCAAGATCTGTAGGAGTACTTCCTCAACCATTTCACACTTGTTAAAGTCAAGTCTTCAATTTCCTAGTTTTCAGTGTCTTCTTGTTGATGTCTTCAAGTTATACCTCTGCCTTCACAATCACATCACACTAGATAATTACATCTCAAAAAATACTCCAGCAAGGAATAGCAAAGCACCCAGTCTCACTACTATGATATTCTTCCCCATCTTTCCCTGCTTTGCAAAGAGGATTTCCATTAGTTCTGTGAAGAGGGTGGGAGCAATGAAGTTCTGCACTATGTTTTCCCAGGTGATATCAGTGGTGAAGAAAAATGATGGCAACAGATGTGGTAAAGCAATATTCTTCCTATGCTCTGTTCCAGTAAACCTTACAATGGTTGCATACATTAGAGTTGCTTGACAGTGTGTTGTCTGGGGACTGGGTAGCCGAGAGCCTGGGTACTGGATCAGTTTTCATCTGGAGTTGTAATTCTAAAACTAGTCTATTGGAAAATGTCTTAGCAGAAGAGAAGTCACAGTTGAGATAGGCATTAAAAAAAAAAAAAGAAGCAATTCCGGTGTACATACCAAAATGAGGGGGGAAAAAAAGGCATCAGTAGTCAACCAACACCCAGGGTGGCTTAGAGAAATAGCATATTCTCAATATTACCTCAAGAAAATCTTATTTTTGGCAAAGGGAAGGATGTCTCACCTGAGCATCCATCCCATTTAAAAAGTGTTATCAGTTAGGCTTAGAAGAAATAAGTTCTAAACTCACATCTGGTGACCTTGGTATTTGAAATTTAAAAAGAAAACTTGTATCAAATAAGAAACCTGTTTTCTTCCTTTTCTTAAACTTTATTTCCCCAGAGGAAGCATTTAAAAAAAAACCCAATTTTGACCAAAATTTTCCACAAATTACAGATGTTTCAACAAAATATCAAAGTCCAAAATACTTTGGTGAAAAGTGGCAAGGCATCAGTTTGCAATAGCCAAGGCAACAAGCAACTTATTCAATAACACTGATAAAAAACAAATCTCTCCATGACATCAGGAAAATTCCCAAACTCCAATTTCATTTTGAGATTTCTCATTTAAACCACTTCTTAAAATATTTCTTGAGAGTTGCAGTGGGTTTTGTGCAGTGCTAACTTTTACACATAACATGAGGCCATATGTCAGCTGCTATGGCAGCCCAGTGGGAAATACAACTTTTAAGAAACCTTCTCTATAATACATGCATTTCCCATGGATTTAGATTCCACTGACTAATATAAAGCGCTGGAGAATGTAATTTACTGTGTAGGTCTTTAGAGGTCAAAACTGACAACATTATTAATTGTACTACCAAAGAACCCAACTGTATAAGCAATATAAACATCACCAAGCACTAAGTAAGAAAGAAGAAGGTTTACAGCCAATATCTATTCATCATGCATCATCTTGATAGGACAGGTGATGCTTCCAGAAAAGCCTGCCAGGCCATCACCTGTGTTTATAACACTCTTGGTTTCTTCACATATGCATTTTAGCATGGTGCATTAAAGTTTTGCTGTTCAGCTTTAAAGAAACTCATCTACTACACAGTGGTCCTGTCTCATCTGAGTTAAAGCCATATGGTGTTTCCTTACAGATAATAAGTTGTACTGTCAGGAAGATAATCGTATGTAGAGTGGTGATACACATCCATTTTGTGAAGTCTCTTAAAACTTACTTGGATATCAATTTAAGCCCACCGGGTTAAAACATCTGTGAGAAATTACAATTGTAATCGACTGTCTTGGATAACGTGCTGTTGTCATGAAATCCTAATGCTACTTTCCAGTAGAGTAATGCTTCCCAAAGAGAAGCAGAATGTTGAAATGAATGACGTGAAAAAACTATCAATGTTAAAAAAAACAAATCCATAAAATAATAAGTTTTAAATTGTTCAAGTAGATATGTGGTAAGTTAAACCTAGGTAATACCAATATACTGAGAGAATATGTACAAAAGGAACATTTGACATGGATATCTAATATTTAAATGGCATGCAGTTTTGTCTTTTTGAAAAATTCCTGTGTTCAGAGATACAGAATACTTTTATTTTTACCCAATGTTAATCCAATAAAAAATGTCAGGAAAAAGTATAGTTTGCCTCTCACTCTTTAAACTAGGGACCTATACCTCACTGTGAAGTCAGTGGCAGTTTTAAATTAAATTCATAGAATAAGGCATCTCCAAGTTTGAAAATTTTCCAGCTTCTGAATAAATGTTTGAATAAATAACTCCTTAAACTGATTAAGCCCCTTGTCTAAGAAACATAAATACAGATCTTTTTATGTCAACTACTGTTCACATTTATATACTGACATATTTGTCTTGAAATGCAATAGTGTAAAAATAACTTTTAAGAAACATTTAGATGAAATGTCCTGTTTGTACCTATAATAAAATAAATATTTTTCCATAATGTCTCACAGGTTTTTAAGAAAACTAGCCTAGGTTTCACACCTTTCCTTGGCTGCTGAAGGAGATGCCTAAGGAATGTGAGATAATACTGGCAAATGGTCTCAGTAACCTCCCAGGTTGTCAAATCTTAGGCTGCACAAGACTAATAGCTCTTTTATAAAGCATCTCTCTTAGCAAAACTCCTCAAGCCCAAAGGCTCAGAACATCAACTTTTTAAGGGAAAAGCAATAAAGGTTCAGTAATACTGATAAGCTGGATTTTGATCCAGAAGCAAGTCACAGAAATCATTAGCAGGTAGAATTATAAAGACAATGGACTAGGGCTCCTAGGCCTTTCATATGGAAGCTTAAAGTATTTAAATTCATTTTGCTTTATTACAGGG